GAGAAGGAGGATGAGGAGAGAGAGAAGGAGGAGGAGAAAGAAGGAGAAAGGAGGAGAGAGAGAGAAGGAGGACGAGGAGGAGAAGGAGGAGGAGAGAGAGAGAGAAGGAGGAGGAGGAGAAAGGAGGAGAGAGAGAGTGAGAAGGAGGACGAGGAGGAGAAGGAGAGAGAGAAGGAGGAGGAGAGAGAGAGAAGGAGGAGGAGAAGGGAGAGGAGGAGGAGGAGAGAGAGAAGGAGGAATGAGGAGGGAGAGGAGGAGGAGGAGAGAGAGAAGGAGGAATGAGGAGGAGAGAGAGAAGGAGGATGGAGGAGGAGAGAGAAGGAGGAGGAGGAGGAGAGAGGAGGAGGAGGAAAAGGAGGAGGAGAGAGAGAGAAGGAGGAGGAGAAGGGAGAGGAGGAGGAGGATGATGGAGGAGGAGAGAGAAGGAGGAGGAGGAGAAGGAGGAGGAGAGAGAGAGAAGGAGGGGGAGAAGGAGGAGGAGAGAGAGAGAAGGAGGAGGAGAAGGGAGAGGAGGAGAAGGAGGAGGAGAGAGAGAGAAGGAGGAGGAGAAGGGAGAGGAGGAGGAGGAGGAGGAGAGAGAGAAGGAGGATGGAGGAGGAGAGAGAGAAGGAGGATGGAGGAGGAGAGAGAGAAGGAGGATGGAGGAGGAGGAGGAGGGGGAGGAGGAGGAGAGAGAGAGAAGGAGGGGGAGAAGGAGGAGGAGGAGAGAGAGAGAAGGAGGAGGAGAGAGAGAGAAGGAGGGGGAGAAGGAGGAGGAGAGAGAGAGAAGGAGGAGGAGAAGGGAGAGGAGGAGAAGGAGGAGGAGAGAGAGAGAAGGAGGAGGAGAAGGGAGAGGAGGAGGAGGAGGAGGAGGAGGAGGAGGAGGAGAGAGAAGGAGGGGGAGAAGGAGGAGGAGAGAGAGAGAAGGAGGAGGAGAAGGGAGAGGAGGAGAAGGAGGAGGAGAGAGAGAGAAGGAGGAGGAGAAGGGAGAGGAGGAGGAGGAGGAGGAGAGAGAGAAGGAGGATGGAGGAGGAGGAGGAGGAGGAGAGAGAGAAGGAGGATGGAGGAGGAGAGAGAGAAGGAGGATGGAGGAGGAGGAGGAGGAGGAGGAGAGAGAGAAGGAGGATGGAGGATAGAAACAGATCAAGCAGCATGATGAGGGCACAGAGCCAGCATTAGTAAAGAACAGTTATGAGGAAAAGCATCAAACAGCACCAGACCAGGAACAGTCAGCACCTTTGATGACAGAAGCCTGGCAGAACTCAGTGAAAGCAGGTGTTCCACCTGTTCCTGGACCGGCAGTAATGTTTTGTTTTCAAAAAATGAATAAATGTACAACTTATTACATATATAAATAAAACACAACTATTGTTCAAGTCAAAATGTTAAATGGTCTATGTCTGTGCACATTAAATCAGTAGTAACATTAATAATCACACAATAAGCCAAAAGATATGAGTAGGTGTTTACTTAGATCTTTATGATAGTTTTCCACTGGCAGTTTTACCGCAGAAGTAGAATAAAACCTTGAAATTATGTTTCTTTGTGCCACCCCAACAATTTAAGAGGCCCCATCTAGCCACCCCTATGAAACATTTCTAGAGGCGCCCCTGTGCTTTAGACAAATCATTTTCACTTGATTTATTCTGGGTGATATCGGTATTTATTCCTGATTTTTTAAACTTACTTGGCTAGCTAACAACTAATATTGCACAGGTCACTATATTAGAGACATTTTCAATGCTTTAAAAAAGTCTCTATCATCTTTTAAAGTGTCAGTAGAACAGAAAATGCCTTGTTGTTGCCTCTAAATCCAGACATTTAAGTTATATTCTTGGGGGAAAAAAACTTTAAATAATGTTAAGTTTACACTCAGTATAATTTTATGACTCTAAATCAAAACTATGGAAAGCGTTTAAACAATTCTTTCTCACATATAAAAAAACAACAATTTTATTATTTTATCTGTCCTGAATGGATCAACAGTATACTGATAATAGATATATTTGTTTTGTACCTTTTTAAGGAACCATCATCTACTGTGTTTGTGTAATGCTCCCCAATGTTTGGTTATGTTGTTTCTATGTGACGCCATCTACTGGTATCCCATCCATATGGCACATTTTGCTTTAAAGGGGTCAGAATGCAAAACCGATTTTATATTGTCATAGATGAGTAACTATAGTTCAGTGGGTGAAATGGACGTACAGAGAAGGTCAAACCCCATCCACACCTCCTTTCTCTGCAAATCTCCCTATTCTAAGCTTGAACCATAACACGGGTGAATCTAAACGAATACCCAAACTGACGTAAACTCTGGGATGTTGCCTTATTTAGTTCTGGCCTGTACTTTTGTCACACCCCAAAATATACATACAGACCAGCCCACTGTTCACTGGGGGGAGGAGGTATGAAGTGTCGACTGCTGGGCCCCTGACTGGACCGGACATCAGCAGAGAGTCATGAGCCACCCGTCCTCAGCCAGATGATGGGGGCTGGGGGCCGGTAAAGCAGGCAGGGGGAAGCATGGTGCCGCCTGTGACCAGGCTACCATCACCTGGTGTGGTTCAGTTGCCCCTGTCTGCTGGGGTTCCCGGACCAGCCCCGGAGCTGATGGCTCGGTTCTGCTGCACTGTAGTCGACCAAAATCCCGGCTGATTTTGAAATTCCCCCCCGGACATTTTTTTGTCCGGGAAAAAGAGGACATCTGGTCACCCTACCATATCGCCAATTTGATGTTTCAGTGAGTGAGTGCTTGTTGCTATGATGCATCTTTGCTCAGCAGCTCATCTAAATATTCATGAGCATACCATAAAAGGAAGAAAACCTGTCGTTTCATTCTAGGGCTTTTAACCAGGCTTGCATTTGGGCTCATAGAACAGCAAATATGCCATTTTCAGGCCAACCAATGTCACACATCCTGTTCAGAATAGCCTACATAATCATGCTATGACCCCTTTAAGTACAAAAAACGAAGCTTCATAATGGTGTTCCAATAACTTTATACTTTATTCATACAGCTTGAAACGTTGTAAATACAAAAAATACAAGCATGGCTGGATAAAAATAGGTGTAGTTATTCTCACACAACATTTACAAAATACGTATTTTGTCAGAGAATTACACAAATGTTGTGAGAAGTGGTAGTCATAAGGACATTTTATAAGACAGCAGGCCTGTGGGATTGTTGATGAAGACACAGTTGAGTGGCTTGTACTGTTTTTGTTTTTTTAAATCTAGTAGGCACATGGAGATAAGAACCAATGAGTGAATAACAATCTTTACCTTGTGTCTGCCAGCTCCTGGCTGATTCAAAGCAACGCTGTATCCTTCCTTCAGTGGTACCAGGAGAGATGCACAGGTAAAGTGGCTGTAATCAAAGTGGTTTATGTCCTAAGCAGCATGTTTCAGTCACAGACCCTTATATTTGTATAGACCAGGAGGTTGTTGTTTTTTAGGAATGCTCTTAGTTTCAATTAAGGCAGTAAATGAGTCGAAGTAGTTTGTGATTACATACGCTACATTAAAAACACAACGAGACACCGTTAAAACACTGATGGAGTACCACTGACTGGACATAGATGTACAATACTTTAAATGTAAGGGCCTATGTGTAATAAATGATTAATGTACATGGGTGATATATATTTACATACAGTAATAGCCTGCGCAAGGCATTATTTTCCACAAAAATACCTGGAACTCCCCTATAAACTATTACAAAATCTTTATTTACACATGTATTCGAAACAGTAAGAAATTTGAAATTACTAACATTCATGTGAGTTAAAAAAAACATTATTGTTGCTTCTAAAATCGGTTTATCGTTCTATAAAGCAACAACTAAGCTTATGGGTTTTTCAGTGGATTCTGGGTCGACCTTTCCCCCTCTGCCATTTTGCACCCCCGTTACAGGTCACTTATTTTGAAATCTGTTACTGAAACTATTGCTTATCATGCAGTGAATCATAAACAGTGATGTCATATAATTTACTCTAACTGGGTGTTTTTCCGAAGCATTCACATTCTTTCCATTGCTTGTAGTTCTGAAACCCATTTGGGCTAATTGCGTAACTATCGGTAAGCAGAGACTGCAGTTGCTTAGGGGCCCCGACCTCTTTGGGGCCCCGTCACTGACACCTGGTAGACCCCTTTCGCAATTATGGCATAGGACGGTAGGCCCCCTTCGCAATTATGGTATAGGACGGTAGGCCCCCTTCGCAATTACAGTATAGGACGGTAAGCCCCTTTTCGCAATTATGGTATAGGACGGTAGGCCCCCTTCGCAATTATGGTATAGGACGGTAGAACCCCTTCGCAATTACGGTATAGGACGGTAGGCCCCCTTCACAATTATGGTATAGGACGGCAGGCCCCCTTCGCAATTACGGTATAGGACGGTAGGCCCCCTTCACAATTATGGTATAGGACGGTAGGCCCCCTTCGCAATTACGGTATAGGACGGTAGGCCCCCTTCACAATTATGGTATAGGACGGTAGGCCGCCTTCGCAATTATGGTATAGGACAGTAGTCCCCGTTCGCAATTACGGTATAGGACGGTAGGCCCCCTTCACAATTACGGTATAGGACGATAGGCCCCCTTCACAATTATAGTATAGGACGGTAGGCCCCCTTCGCAATTACGGTATAGGACGGTAGGCCCCCTTCGCAATTACGGTATAGGACGGTAGGCCCCCTTCGCAGTTATGGTATAGGACGGTAGGCCCCCTTCGCAATTATGGACTAGGATGACTCATTGCAGATGTAATGGTGCGAAAAATTCCTTTTGATGTTAAGATGGCTGATTGGACCTTATTTATACCTCAACACATGCCAGATTTCAACACGATGGTGAGCCGTTTAAACACGACACCAATAGCAAAGCAGACAGTGGTACTTTTAATACCGATGTTAATAATGGTGTATAGTTCATTAGACAGTTGGTAAAAAATACAGTCCTATGATATGTTTCAAACTGCAATAAAGATCTTAAAAGAACGATGTATTTTATTTTTTACACTACGACTTGGAATTATGGGTAATCCAGAGCGTAGGCGGGAATGGGGTGTTGTACTCCATATGGGGCCCACCCAGATTATGTTGCTTACGTGCCTATTGTTGAGTTGTTACGCCACTGATTTGGGCTATTTCTCACTCACAAGATCAGATTAGTTATTAATTATTAACTTGCAACAAACTGAAAGGAATATGAGCAACCTCTAGTTGGTTGATAACAAGGATTCACTGTTGGTAGATGATAGAAAATTAATTTAGACCACCTGCTCAAACCATTCTTTTTTTTAACCGACAAAAAGGAAAGCTACAAAAAGTATGAAATGGCAGAGGGGCGATATGACCAGCATCCCTTTCAGTGCTTTTTTTAAGTGCATAGTTCCTTTCACAAAGTCCAGCAGAATAGGCTCCAGCATTTTCTCCTCTCTATTTTAGAAAGCTGGAGCGTGTCCATAACCTCGCTGTCTTTTATTGTGTATGTTTTTGTACCTTTGTAGAGTAAAAAAAAAGAAAATAAAATCATCTCAAGATTCAAACTCCCCGTCGCTGCTGACAGAGATCTCTGGCGTCGAGGCTCCCGTCCCTCTGCGCTCAGTCTCTGTGCTGCAATCGCTGGCCTCTGGGCTGCCGAGGTGGCGAGGGGAAGGGGGCAGCAGGTGGGAGTGGGGGTGGGCGCCGTCAGGGGAGCTCTCCGAGGGATGGAGGGATGGATCCTGTTGAAGCCTGAATGTGGGGACATATCACAGTTTTATAAATCAACTCTAAATTATTACACTATTTAGAAAAATGTCCCTGTCCGAATGTTTCTGAGAACGTGGGAGCATTACCTGTTCTTTGCTGATGCAGCTCGGTCTCTCTGGCGGCGGTTCTTGAACCAGTTGCCCACTTGTGTAGGTGTGAGTCCCGTGGCCTGGGCCAAGTGGCGCTTCCTGGATGGATTGGGATAGGGATCTTGGAGATACCACTCTCTCAGCAAGCTCCGAGTTCGTTCCTGGAGAAGAATGTTAGATATTTCATTTTCAATTCTTATTCTTTAACAGAGGCGGAGCTAGATGGGGGGCCAGAGCTGACCATGGCCACACTTAGCCAATCATTGGCCACCCCTGTGGCCACCCCTACCATTTTTTCCCTTTAATACAGATGGTGTCAGCAGTAATACTCTTAAATGGAATATTAAAAACATTTTTTTTTTTTTTGTGGTTAATTATACACATAATTATACTAACATCAAAGACGAGAAGTGCAGAATTCCTGCTCTTTTCAGAACTAGATTTTGTGTTAAAATATAGGGTAAAGAGAAAATTATGTGTCTCTGCAAGTCATCTAGGAGTCTTCAGTGAAATCAAAGTTAAATAACAATTTTAATATAAACTTATCAAATAATCAATTTATGTAGATGTTAGTATTTGTAAATATAAATTTTATGCATAATGTTTATTGATACAAGTAGGTAAGTTACTTAAAACTGAGTTTTATCCACTGTACCTTTTTTATAGAAATTACGGATGTTTAAATATACTCATCTATTTGTTAGCAAAGGCTGTAGGAAAGGATAATTTGTCTTTATTTAGAAAATATGGATATTTTGCTCGTTAATATTCCTGTTGGAATAGTGTAGATTGACCCTGAGGTTCTGGTGCCGATCCGCTTTTGGCCCCCCCTCAGTGTACATTAGTTATCGCCTGGCCACCCTTATAAAAGATTTCTGGCTATGCCTCTGTTCTTTAGTATCTTATAAAACAGTTGTTTTTTTCCATGTAGACGGTGGCTTGTATAGTATTTATGTCCCACTAATATGATGCAGTCTTAAAACGTATTAGATTGGATTTGCAAACAGAAAAACACTCTTGACACTAGAAGTATACATAGCCACATATATCTACTAAATTGGATCATGCTAAGGAGCTTAATAGGTTGACAGACTAGCCATCCCCTTTGAGGTTTGGAATTAAAGATTATGCGATTATAAACGCCCCTTCTTCTGACCACCAGGGGGAGCTCATACATACAACCATTCCACTAACATGTATTTGGAGCTGTTTAAGCAATCCTTTTTTCTTTTCCTTTTTTTTAATAAACTTTTTGAATTTTTTTTATCTTAAAAGGTACTAAAATGCGAACATGTCCAAAATGTGGTTTTAAATGTTAAACAACATCATGGGAAAAAATGCCAGAGTGGAATTAATCTGAGTTAGAGTCAATTCATCTTAAATTGAATCTCGGGTTGATAATTTTTGATTATTTTGATATATTAAAACGATTTCTACTCGATTAATTTTTATTACTTTAAATTAAAACTAAAAATAAAAAAAAGCAGTTAAGGTTCTGCAACAAATTTAAATAGTTTAGACCTGCTGAGGGATGACTGCAGCTCTGATCGTCTTAAAAGCACTTTAACAACTCAAACCGCAGCCTTTTTTACTCCTGACATTCACAGCAGCAATAAAAAAATGTTTAAATGGTCGACATAATCCTTTTGCAATCTAAAAAAACCTTCCCATTTAGATATGATTATTTTCTTTATATATTGCTGGTTTTCAGTTCTTACCTTAAAGCAGTGCGTCTTTTGCTCTCCATCCCAAATGGTGCGAGGCAATGGGAACTTCTTCCTTATCCGATATTTCTCCACGGGGCCCAGCGGCCGCCCCCTCAGCCTTTCCGCCTCTCTGTAGTGAGCATCCAGCCAGAGGTCTTGGAGCTTGGCATGGGACTCCCGGGTAAACCTGTGGCTCTGGAGGATCTGATAAAGAGCCTCAAAGTTCCCGCTGTGGAAAGCCACCAGCGCCCTCGCTCTCATCACAGACTCATGCCTGTTGAGCGCCTCCCCTGCAGAGCCGGGTACGGCGGCGGGCAGAGACCAGAGGAACCGACCCAGGCGCTCGATATCCCCGGTCTCCTCCAGGTTCTCGCACACCCGAGCCACTTGGTCAGGTGTGAACATCGGCAGTGGGAACATCTCACCTCGTCGCTTCACTGTTGCTCAGCTGAGAAACGTTGACCTCCTGCATGAAATGGTATATCCTTGTGTGATGCTCCTTGGACCTGTTGCTTTTTTTGGAAGGCGTTGCCGGTTTCGCCACACCTTGGACAGCCTCTCCTGGTATTTTTAGTTATAAATACTTCTGGGAAGATGCTGTTAGCCCCACCATCACAGGATGGAGCTGAGACAAATGAAGAAAGAGGACAAGGAGTTGCTAGTATTTATAGGTAGATACAATTAGCATCTCTGTGGTTGTTTTGAGAAGGATTATACATCCCGGCCATTAGCCTCTTAGTGGGGGGTAGTGTGTACAGAGGTGCCTGCCTGATCAGCTTGTTTGGCTTAGCCTGAGGATACACTGACTGCCAGTATGACTGCAGTGAGCAAACAAGTGAGGAAAGATTATTTAAAAGGTCTGATCTTGAGGAGATAAAGCTCAGTTTCAGGAGCAGAGATGACCCGGACCGAATGCATCAAGAAATAGTTTTACAAAAACAACCAAACACTCTTTGACTAAGAGGCATCACATAAAGGCCGCTGACTATTTTCAAATTGATTTAACAGAATATTGTTAGTTTTTTTCTTGCTTTTTAAATTTTTTTTTTTGCATAATTAACAAAATAATATCATATCCTCCTGATATTTGCCTAAGGGTAGATGTCGGGACACAAAGCCCCCCCTCACCACCAGCTAATACCCCTGTAATTAAAACAGACAGGGGTAACAGATAGGCTGTCCCCTGCGACCCCTCATCAGACCAGGACTAACTGGGGAAGCCGCTGCAGATCCACACATAAGACAGCGCAACTCAGGACACCATGTAAATAATCTGCAAACTGGTTCAGTCCTTCTGATCTCAGTAGCTCATTAATCAATCTAAGGATCATTTTCTTATTAATCAGACTACAGATCCTGTAAGCGTCTGTTAGCTAATTCCCAAGCATGTTAGACTTAATTTGCCTAAATTAGCTTAAATAAATATGCTCCAAACACAATCAGTTTGGAAGTTGGATATTCTTGCAACAGACTGTTAAAGCCTGATATAGATTTTTTTTTCCTGAGTGATTAAGGCTTTGAACAAAGGTTGCAGTCAGGTGAAGTCGCGGTTAAAAAGAAGTACAGGGCCCCCGAAAAATCCTGTCTAGAAATCTGTCTAGAATAGAGATATTATGAGCAACAGATCAATAAGCAACTGGAGTCTCAGCTTGTTTTGATTTGATATCTTAAGCCAGTTTTATATTTAAATGTGGACAATTTAAGTCCTGTTGTGCAACAATAAATGATGATAGCATCTCATTGATCAAAATAAGTAGTTTAGAAAATGCAAGAAAGTATCACCAACATTTTTTTTATCTGAATTGTCAAAAAAAAATTTTTTTAGTCTTTTATGGGACTGAAACTAATTTCATGCCATAAAAACACAAACATTTATATCAGTGCTTCCTAACTCAGGTACTCAGGGACCCCTATCCTGCCTGTTTTTGAGGTGTCTCCATGTGGCAAACACCTTAAACATATGGACGATTAAAAGGCTTCTGCAGCAGTTGATGGCTGCTGATCTCTTAAATTAGATTTATTAGAATAAAGACACATTTTAAATATATGCAGGACAGAGGTTGCTAAGGACCAGAGTGTTTTGCCACTTCCTTATATCACCAACTATAGAGCGTATAGAGCGCACTGGCAGTTTACTTTAAAGCTGTGGCCTACCCAATCAGACACAGAGTATTTCAGTGTGGCAAGGCTGGGTATACACTGTACGATATTTTCAATAGTTGTACTCAGCTACAGCTCAAACTGTACGGCGAAATCGAAGGCTTTAAAAGTTCAGCTGAAAATGCTGTTTTTAGACCTCTTTAGTCTTTATGGAAAGTTTAAAAGCAAAAGTAATAAAAACTGTGAATTACCATCACTGCAGAAAATAGAAAAAAACTGTTTATCTGCGTTATTTCTAAAAATTTCAAACATACGGCAAAAACTCCCGCTACAAATTTTCAGAGTAAATGTAAGATTAGGGGCCATTTAGCGGCCAGGCCTGAAAATGAACAATACCGTTTTTGTCAGTTTGTTTCTCTTTATTTTGAAAAAAACTTTTTATTATTAGCGCTTAAACACTTAAAAACAGCTGCAATAAAAAAGAGGATAATACATTTGCATACAAAAATGGTGCATATACTTCTACTTTTAACCTATCAGAGAGGAAAATGAGCAAAGCAAATAAAGGGGATTTAAAATGAAGAAGTATATCAAAATCAATCTTTATTGTCAACTACAATTTGCATTGTAATTGAGATTTCAGTTTCAAATAAAGTACAATAAGTAAAATGCAATATTGGTAAGTGTAATACCGAACTAGGACTCATCCTCTCCGGTTATAATGACACTCTATTCAGATAGGATGAGTATTATCTGTATATATTCATCCTCCTACTTCTGATTTTTATGTGCTACATTTGCACAAGATAACGAAGCCTGATATTTTGCAGAGATGTACTTACATCTGTTGGAAGAGATGTTAACATGCTAAAAATATGTCTTACGCCACACCAGCAAAATTGGGTTGAGAAGATGCTGAAAGTCTAATATCTTCATTCATTGAAACAATGAATTCTTTAGAGGCTTCTAATTCAACATCATACTTTGACCTAATCATTGCTTTCCTGAAAGAATCAAAAATCACCACTCTAAAGGTTGGACCAAGATCTTTAAAAAGTATTTTTTTAATCAAATATATATGTATAAATCGTCAATTAAACTCATCTGGTTAAAGCAAGTGTATCAATTGTTTTGGCATTATGGCGTATGAGAACGCTGTTTATTAAAATGTGTATTGTTACCTAGTTTTTTTTTTTAAATAGGTTTGACAAATTTAATATCATTTTTAGTTATTTATATAGACTTAAAATAACTGCTGATAAAGAAGATATTATTTATAGCAGTGATGTCTATTAAATGTAGGGTTGTGTTTGCTGATAAAAAATGTTCATAGCTTTCTTTTAATGAGAAGAAAATTGGAGAAAAGATGAAACCATTTTCTTTTTTTCAAGTGAAATACAGCTGATTCTGGGCTTTTTATGATATTGATAATAAATGTATTTTTGGATTTCTTTTTACATAGACAGAAGAGAATATATGGGGAGTTATTGTATAACAGTCAGGAATCGTCTCTTAGATCCTAGATCTATATTAAATAGAGCATTGGGGGTGGTTTGTTAATAGAAAAAAGGGGGGTTAAATGTGTCAGTAACACTGTTTGGCACAGAAGGGGAGAAATGAGCTCACTGACGATTATGTTTGTATTTAATCTAACCCTTCCAAGTTTTAGACACTTTGCATCTCTACCATGCAGACACGCCCTCGCTTGGCCAAACATTTACCTTTATTGGGAGGAACCCCCACCCCTAACACACACAGAGAACCCAATCTGTTTAACATTTTTTAAGAACAGACTGGATCAAAATCTGCTTAAGCGCACTCAAGCCGTTAGAATAAGACGAATAATAAGATGGTTGATGGGATGAACAGATGATGTACAGGTGCTGGTCATAAAATTAGAATATCATGAAAAAGTAGATTGATTTCAGTAATTCCATTTAAAAAGTGAAACTTGTATATTATATTCATACATTACATACAAACTCATATATTTCAGATGTTTATTTTGTTTAATTTTGATGATTACAAATGACAACAAATGAAAATCTCAAATTCATCATATCAGAAAATTAGAATATTACTGAAGACCAATAAAAACAAAGGATTTATAGAAATGTTGGCCAACTGAAAAGTATGAACATGAAAAGTATGAGCATGTACAGCACTCAGTATTTAGTTGGGCCTCCTTTGGCCTGTATTACTGCAGCAATGCGGCGTGGCATGGAGTCGATCAGTCTGTGGCACTGCTCAGGTGTTATGATAGCCCAGGTTGCTCTAATAGTGGCTTTTAGCTCTTCTGAATTGTTGGGTCTGGTGTATTGCATCTTCTTCTTCACAATACCCCATAGATTTTCTATGGGGTTAAGGTCAAGGTCAGGAGAGTTTGCTGGCCAATTAAGAACAGGGATACCATGGTCCTTCAACCAGGTACTGGTAGCTTTGGCACTGTGTGCAGGTGCCAAGTCCTGTTGGAAAATGAAATCTGCATCTCCAAAAAGTTGGTCAGCTGCAGGAAGCATGAAGTGCTCTAAAACTTCCTGGTATGTGGCTGCGTTGACCCTGGACCTCAGAAAACACAATGGACCAACACCAGCAGATGACATGGCACCCCAAACCATCACTGACTGTGGAAACTTTACACTGGACTTCAAGCAACGTGGATGAAGTGCCTCTCTTCTTTTCCTCCAGACTCTGGGACCTTGATTTCCAAAGGAAATGCAAAATTTACTTTCATCAGAGAACATGACTTTGGACCACTCACCAGCAGTCCAGTCCTGTTTCTCTTTAGCCCAGGCAAGACGCTTCTGACGCTGTCTGTGGTTCAAGAGTGGCTTGACACAAGGAATGCGACAGCAGAAACCCATGTCTTTCATACGTCTGTGTGTGGTGGTTCTTGAAGCACTCACTCCAGCTGCAGTCCACTCTTTGTGAATCTCCCCCACATTTTTGAATGGGTTTTGTTTCACAATCCTCTCCAGGGTGCGGTTATCTCTCTTGCTTGTACACTTTTTTCGACCACATCTTTTCCTTCCCTTCGCCTCTCTATTAATGTGCTTGGACACTGAGCTCTGTGAACAGCCAGCCTCTTTAGCGATGACCTTTTGTGTCTTGCCCTCCTTGTGCAAGGTGTCGATGGTCGTCTTTTGGACAACTGTCAAGTCAGCAGTCTTCCCCATGATTGTGTAGCCTATAGAACTAGACTGAAAGACCATTTAAAGGCTTTTGCAGGTGGTTTGAGTTAATTAGCTGATTAGAGTGTGGCACCAGGGGCCATCAATTTTGAACCTTTTCACAATATTCTAATTTTCTGATATGATGAATTTGAGATTTTCATTTGTTGTCATTTGTAATCATCAAAATTAAACAAAATAAACATCTGAAATATATGAGTTTGTATGTAATGTATGAATATAATATACAAGTTTCCCTTTTTAAATGGAATTACTGAAATCAATCTACTTTTTCATGATATTCTAATTTTATGACCAGCACCTGTACGTGTTTTTAAATGGGTGGAGAGCAGTAGGTTGGGGTGGGGTGGGTAAAGGTG